GGGGGGCGCGCGGGCCGGCGATCGGGGGCGGATGGATGCCGCGGCGCTCAAGATTCCGCAAAGGGTGAGAGCTTGCGCGCGCGCGTGCGTGCACGCGTGTGTGTGTGTGTTGTGTGGGTGTGTGTGTTGTGTGTGGGTGTGTGTGTGTGCGCGCGTCACTGTGTGCTAGCGCGCACACAGTGTGCATGTGTGCGCTCGGGTGTGATAAGTTGCGCAGCCCCAGCGGCCGCCCTCACCGCGCCTGCTCCGCTGACGCAAGCTTAGTGGCGTCGTCCTGCCACCAACAGCAAGGGTGGGGGGGGGGGCAGAGCCGGACCCTGGGCCGACAAGGCTACGGCGCACTTTGACAGCAGCGCGGCACGCCCGCGCCCGGGCCCCCCGATACCGCGCTTGAACCCTGGCTCAAGCCTGGCCAGGCGGCGCCCGCGGCGCTCCCTCTCAGAGCGATTTTCGAGAGCAGCACGCGCGCCAAGGGAACAGGCGCCCCGACGCACCCCGCCCCGTGGCCCCGGCGGCCGCACCTTCTTGGCCGCCGAGTGCACCTTGCGCTCCGCAGCCGCGAAGCGCGCCGCCGCCACCGCCATCTCCGTGGCCTTGCGCTCCAGGTCCAGCGCGTCGCTCATGGACGCCCCAGACGGCGCGCTGCGGCGTCGGCGGCACGGCGCTGCGTATGAGACCCCCGTCCCTCCAGGCGCGCCCACGAGGGCCGGCCGCAACCCCGGACGAGCAACCAGGGAGCGTCGGGCGGCCAGCATCCAGCCGCTGCTAACTCCGAGGCGCCGCCAGGCCGCTTAGTCCCCCACCTGGCCATCCTCTCGAGCTCCCTCTCCGCCACCATGCCGTAGATCGCGGGCCGCACGCTCATGCTGCTCGAGGACACCAGGCGCTCGATGAGCTCCGTCACCTCGTTGACCTGGCCGTCGGTCAGCTGCGCAGCCGGGGCGGCAGGCGGGCCCGCACGCACGCATGGGCGGTCGGTCGCCGGTGCAATGGGCCGTTGGGCGTCGGAAGAAGGGGGCGGGAGGCCCGGTGCAAGCGCAGTGGCGCGACAGGGCCCGGCGCACGCGGCACCCCGCACGAGCGACGCGTACGGGTTAGCTGCTCAGCAGCTTCCTCCCAGGGAGCATAGCCCACCTGCTTGTCGCCGTCTGCGACCACGCGCATGGTGAACTCCACCATCCCATCGTTGTTGCTGAGGGGGGCCGGGGGGGGACCAAGAGCGGCGTGCGGCGTGTCCAGTGATAAAAAGTCACGCCCGGGCGCTCCGCTGCTGGAGTCTTGCATCCTCCACCCCACACAGTGCCAACGCGCCAGATGCGGACAGGGGCTTGTGCGTCGGCCCGATCCGCCGCTCACTTGTAGTTGGAGGACAACACCTTGAAGCCCTCAGAGAAGAGCCCGTTGACCAGCAGGATGAGGCAGTCCGACTGGCCGGGGCCCGCCACGCGGATGGTGGAGCAGCTGGCGTCGCTCGTGTTGTCGATCGTGATCTGCGGGGCGGCCGAGACGCGGTGGGCGATGTGAGCAGCGGGAGGAGGCTGCGCACCGCCGTCGATGTGGCGCATGCTACGGCTGGAGCATGCCTGTGATCCAGGCACTACCAGGTGAAGTCAGCAAGAAAGGAGGACATGCATGGTTTTTGCCCGTTGTCGCATGGATCTTTGGGCTCGGTTGCAGACAGCCGCCTGCACGTGCGCTCCCAACCCCCCGCATCCCCTTGCCAAGCTGCGCTCCGCACACCCGGCTGTGCCTGGACGCCGACTCGCCTGCATGGACGGCTCCCCGGTGGCATCCAGGGTCGCCAGCGGGAACGGCTCATGGTTGACCGCCATAAGCACGGCGGCGGCGCGGCCGTGCGCGGCGGTCCGGCCGAGCCGCTGCACGGTGTGCCGCACCGGTGCATGCAAGAAGGGGACGCGTGCGGGGGGGGGGGGGCGGCGGGCGCGGCTGTCAGATCACATGCAGGACGATCACACATCATTGTGTCTCACGTCCCCCTCTCCGACACGCCGTGAGGCTCGAGTCGAGCGCTGAGTGCAGGACATGCTACGGTTTGGCAGTTAGGTCGGTTGAGCTCCGCCGATCCTCACGGCTGCATTTCGCACATGCCTTGTGCATGAAGACCTGATATGTGCGAGAGCCCACCTTGTGGTGCGGGGCCTGCTGCGCCCGGGGCGCGGCCGGCCGCAGGGGTAGGGCGCCGCCCGCGACGAGCAGATGCCGCGGGGCGGCGGCCGGGCGTGATACCACGGGCGCAAGGGCGATGATCGAGCTTGGCCGGCTGAGGCGTGCAGTGGGTGGCGAGCAGCTGCTGCGCAGCCCCAGCCAACCCATTTTTGTCAGGCTTGTCGCGGTCAGGCAGGCGACGAGGAGCGGCGCGCTCGCTGGCTTGTGTTGTGCCCGTTGGGGGTGGCTTCGCCGCGGCTGGGGCCCAGCGTTGCCTGTGCGGTGATCGGATATTGAAAAAATGTATGCGTCAGCGACGGCAGGGGCTGGTCAGGACAGGACAGGACTTGCTGCTCAGCAAGTCTCGGGGAACCGGCACCGGCAGAGGGATCGAAGGAACCAACTGTTTCTGTGCATATACCTGAACCTATGAGGGGTTGCACGGTGCTTTCGAATATGCGAGGCCCCCCACAAGGCCGCGGCCAGCGCGCCCGCCATCTCTCCCACCTGATTTCTCGTTGCCCGAGCTCGCTTGGCGTCGGGCGGTATGCCGTCGCACTTTTGTAAATAGATCTTATGATCGCGCGATGCTCCAAGACGGACGAGGCTGTCAATGATCTGAAGGTCGACCTTACAAATATGTTTGCACAAGCGGGCGGCGATCACCACCACTGAAGGTGAATGCGAACTATTTCGATTGACAAGCAGACGACGCTGCATGAAGCGCCATACATATCAGACATGTGTTGATGTGACTGTGCCACCAGATTTGGATGCGCACTGGCGGTCAACTGCAGACGGCGCTTGTGGTTGCGGATGCGCGAGGTGCCACATGTGCAATGGTGATTGAACCGGTCAAACAGGCCATTCAAGCAGTCCGCAGGCTGGCTGAGGTGCTGGACACCAGCATGTTCCATCTCCACCCCAGTGTCACACCCATGAGGCCGATTGCTGCAGAATTGCAGCGAGTGTTACGGGCAAAGCAGGGGCACTTTCAAGGAGTGGTGGGGTCGATGTTCTCACAGCTTTTGATGCGGCGTGAAAATGGCAGGCATGCAGGTCTCCATGTAATTGTATCCGGCTGCGTTACCGTTGTTCATCTTGCCTCGCATCTTGCTTTGGCTAGGCGCATAAGCAAGCACGCTCAGGCTGAAACCGAGTCTCAGGTTACAGATCGATGATTGACAACATAACTTCAGCTGAGGAACTCATAACACGCTGCACTGAACGCAACTCAGGTTGCTCCAAACAGCCCGTAATCTCGAATTGCAAGGGTGCGGAGCATCTCTGAAAAAAGCACACCTGCGCGCTGCGCCGCCGCTTGGGGTCCAGCCCCAGCGTGCTCCGCCGCCGCGCTTGTGCCAGAGATCTCCGCTGCGCTGTTGAGCGTGATCAGCAGATCTGTGCCGTGATCTGGCAGCCGCAGCGCAAAAACCTGCACGTGCACTTGGTTGGCGGCCTCTGGGCCCTGCCGCCCCTTGGAAGCCGTTTGGTAGCCAGTGGCCAGCAGCTTGGCAGCGCCTGACGGGGCGCCAGGCACGTCTTGTGAAGCTGGAGTGTGGGTGGGGCCAGGAGTGAAGAGGCCACGATGTGAGTGGGGCGCATGTGGGCACCAAAGAGTGACCGAGCCGTGCGACAACTCTGTATGCGCATGCAGGGGACATAGCAAGTCAAACATTGGCATGGTATAGAGCAGAATGCATATGATTGCCCCCTCTCCTCACGACTTGTGTGCACCCTATGCGCCAATGACCCAACAGTGTGCCGATCCCAGCATGAGCCCCTCCATGAGCCCCTCACTCAGCGCGGTGACGCCCTCCAACTGGCTGCTGGTGGCCTCGTTGGCGACCGCCATGTCCCGGAAGAAGAACTCGGCCGCTTGTGAGTCCGCCACTTCGCTGCTGTGCTCCTGCACAGAAGATATACGGGCAGCACACACAGTGATCGTGCGGGCCTGGCGCTGCCGGGGCCGCCCACACGGTCGCGCCTTCGTCCCAGGCGCGGCGCCCTTAGACGCCATCTGGCGTGCCAAGCGTTCCGGAGGCATGCACGTCCTGTGCAAATCTCGGCCCACCCACCATGACCTCCACCACGACGGATTGGTCTGTGGAGCCGTCCGCCCACACCTGCGGCAGGCACGGGACGTCGCGCGGCGCGGCGCCACGGGACACCATCGTTTCAGCGGCTGCACGTTGATGTGTTATATATTTCACGCAGGCGCTTGTTCACTCAGGGACAGCGGCAGCGGCGGCAGGCGTATTGCAACCTGAAGACGAACGCCAGGGCAGCGGTGCACTGCAGGCGCCGCACCTCTTGGTTGTCAGGCACAGGGCGGAAATCGGACACATCCAAGAACCGAGCCGGCATGCCCCTGCACAGTAAGATTTGCTTTGTTTCTTGCATCAGGGTTTTCCAGTTGATCCCGGTCAGCGAGTCTTCGCCGGCTGCAAACATGCGCCGCTGCCTTTGACACACAGGTGAACAGGTGCAGTGTCGGCAACCTCTGCTGGCGGGGCAGGCGGCTGGTGGACCACTGGTTTTTTGGGATACCTACTCACATTTCTATCGCGCCTCCAAACAAGCTTCGGTGCTCCAAGACCTCCAAGATCGTCATTTAGACGGTCCTTCAAGGTGGCGGCACTTCGAAATAGAAACGAGAGCACGCCAGCCATATCAGGTGCCATGTGTGGTAAGGCCTACGTCAGAGCGTGTCAACAGGTCGATCGTGCCGCCGAATCTTGTGACCTGCTTGCAGTGACTGCAAAGGCACTTGTGCCGACCGAATGCCTTGTCCTCCCCCCCTTCCAAATGCCTTACCCTCCCCCCCTGCTATGGCTTACCGGCTCAAAGTCACAGCCAGCGATGCTATTGTGAGCCCAATGTTTGCCAGAATGTACTTCAGTGTCAGACAAAGCATCCTGGTTTGACTGACGTCATGGTCAAACTTGTAGGGTCCCGCGGCTGCGCAGTGCCATCGCAACACTCTTTTGTCGTGCGAGTTTACACTGTGGCACTCTGAGGTAATCCCAAGACAATCGCGAAGATCTCCATACAAAAACGGCAGTTCTCAGACACTCAGGAATGAATGCAAAGCCCGTCGTAATGCTGCGCCGGGCCGGCGCAGCTGCAAGGGGCTGGTGCAGGTCAGCACGCTGAAAGCAACCCCAGGCAGCAGCTGCGAGGGGCAACAAAGCTGCCCCAGGACTTCTGCAAGGTGTCCTGGGAACAATACAGGTCAGGTGTGCGTCGCCTGGTGCACGGATGGCGATCACGGGTGCTTGCCGGTGAGCGAGCGCCGTGCGGCCCATCCCACTGGGCCGTTGTGCCGCTGTCGGGGCGGCGGCGAGGCGCGAGCTCTGCTGCAGAATGTCTTGCCGCCGCAGGCTCAAGCGCCTCAAGCCGTCGAGCGCGCCGTGTATGGAGTTGGAAAAAGTCATGTGCAGGCTCTCTCTCTGTGCTATCTCACTCTCTGCTGTGCCTCGGATTTGCGAAACTAATTCAGGGTGAAAGCAACGCATGAAGTTGGATTGCTGCCCAAGGGGCCATACGACGCAGCTGCCGAGCCCGGCCGGCTGCGGCTCGGCAAAGCAGTGCCATAGTTTTGTAAGAGGTGGTGACGACTGGCGCCCGACCACCGCACAGGCAGCCGCAGGAGCTGTCTGCAGCCGTGATCAAGCGAGGAAGCCGAGCCACTCCCCATTCTTCTTCGCGAGACGCACCACCGCCTGCACCTGCTTGTTATCCACGCCGACCTGCTTGCAGAAGTCCTTGATCACTGTGGGGTCGGTTGTTCAAAGGGCAGGGGGCACATTTGGGCCAGAGGTGTCGGGCTGCGCTCGCGGTTGCGCGTCGTGCGCCATTTCGGTCCTCTGGTGGGGCACGCGGCTGGTGATCAGGTGCGGAGAGGTGTCCAGTTCCGACACCGCACGCACGGCTTGTCGACACACCTTGCGAGTGAACAGAGATGGCCTTGCCCCTGAGCTTGTTGAACTCCTTCTCCCCAACAATGTTGCGCACCACCACCACCAGCGGTGCAAAGGGGCCACCCGCGCCCTTGTTGCCCAGCCGAACGACCTCGCGCTTGGGGGCAGCTGTGGTTGCGGGAGAGGACCAACCAGTCGAGGCATGGAGTCAGGTGTGGGGTGGTCGCAGTGGCGAGCGCGGCGCTCCAGCGACGGACTAGCGCCACCACAGTACACAATCGAGCCAACCGGTGCAGTTGGCGCTGAGGCGTCCCTTCAATTGGAAATTATGTGTAATTATAAATCTTTCGCGACCCCTGACGAGCCCTGAAAGCGTCCAAGCTGCAATCTGCGGTCAGAGTCACACACCCGCACTCGACCGAACTGGGGCCGCAGTGGCTTCTCGCAGGCTGCCGGTAGTGCTGCAGGAGCTATCCCAGCTTGTCATCTGCACCCGTGACGAGTAGGCGAGGGAACGAACGCTGGACGGAACAGCGGCCACCCTCGGGGCCGATCTGCTGCTGCTGGCGCTGAACCGGGCGCGGGAGCCATTGCTGATAGAGGAAGCCATATATGCGATGTGATTGTGGATGGGCTGCCACCGGATTGCTTGGAGGTTGTGCGAGGGTGGTGGGCAGGGATGCCGCTGTATGTGTGCGCAGCTCAACGTGAAACTCCGCTAGGTGATCCGGGGTTTGTTAGAATGAAGCAAACCGGATAGCAGAGACGCTCATTGATGGTTGGCCGCGACATGCAACTTTGCCTGCTCTTCTCTCAAAGAGTGTCAGCTCCTCTGCTCGCGCGCGTGTGCTCGACACAATCTGCCGGCACACGCAAGCACCTAAGGTGGAGTCGCCTGTTCCAACACTATTTTGCTCAAACTGTACAGGCCCTCCATTTGCGTGGGAAGAGGGGGGTGGGGGGCGCAGCGCGCACACACCCGTGTGCGCACCTTGAAGTCTTGGACTGTCGCTGGCCAGCTGCCCCTGTGGAAGGATCGGGGAGGTGCAAACGCTGCAGCCTACCGGCCTCCAGCCATCACATGATGTCTTAGTTCGTGGTTGAGGATGAATTGGTGCGGACTGACATCTGCTTGATACATTTGTCATCCCTGACGAGGATCATTGATTTGGACCAGAAAACCACCCGCCTGTGGCTCACCTGCGGCGCAGCGACGCGCCAGCAGCTCTGCTGATCGCAGACAGCGACCGCCCGCCATCGCTGAAACGGCAGCAATGGGACGGTTTGTCCACCCTGTACTGGGAGTTGTGCCGGTGCGACGGGCTTCGTCGTTTTGTTTGAAGCCATTACCAGAACCAACCCGGTCAAAACAGCTCCTCTGGCAGCTTTTAACCCTGTGCCAACAGGCCATGGCCCTGTGCATAGTCCTCATCGGTGTATGTTGCCGCCGGCTGCCTTTGGCCTTCTGCGTTTCAGCAGTGCACGAATCGTGTGCATTCATTTGTGTTACCATGCATGACTTGCACGCGAGCAGCCGTGCGACGCATGCGAGCCTGCCCCGCGGCTGGCAGATGCGCCCGCAAGGAAGAATCCGCCGTGACGTGCATCCAGCGAGGCTGGCCCCTTGTCTGCGGCTTCCTCAAAGCCATGGAAACGGCGGTTGGCGGCCACGGGCACGGGCACAGGCAGGCGGGGCCGAGGGCTGCAGATGAACAGGGCGTCACCGCCGGCGGCGGCATCGTTTCGTGCGACGCGGGGGGTGGCAACTGGGCGCAGCTGCGCAAAATGAAACGTGAATGCGGTCGGCCAAAAAATGGAGGTGGACGTGAGACGGGTCGCAGGCCGTCGCAGGCGCGTGGGCCCAAGCCTGGGGGCAGCTAGGTAAACTGTCCGCAGGCGCCATTGGCCGCGTCTGAACAGGGCCATCGCAGCTGTGACGCGATCAATCAGGCCTTGAGCCGTGAAGAGATTCTACATGCGACCGACCCGCGCCGGCCGGCCGGCGGCGCCACGGCTCGCCGACCCGCGGGGCCGGCGGTGATGCCGCGCGGGCTCGCCCCACGGGGGGCGGGAAGGGGTGGGGGGGAC